CGTTGGAACCGTTCACCTTTGTTGAGTAACGGGCAGTTGGGCTTTATATGACCGGAATTTTGGCATTGATAACACTTTATCTCACTCTCAAATTTTGAGGATTTCCGAAGGTTCCGGGGAGAATTTCGGGAGAAGTTCCGGGTAGAATTTAGTAATTGATTTATCCTTTTTGTGATCCTCGCGATTTCCTCATTCTTCTTGTCCTCATCTAAGTCTTCCAAATCATTATCGTCGTCCTGCATAGTGTTAGATTTAAAAGCAACGGATTTTTCTTTATTTAATTTTACCTCATCTTTTGCAAGGATGTTGAGCTCATGGGATGTGAGGGAACCGATAAGTTCCGCAATGCTCATATTGTTCAAGTCCTTTGCTTCTTGGATTGCGGTCACCTTTGGAGTCCATTCTCGAGGCAAGGATCTCAAGATCTTTTTGACTTGTTCACTTTGAGAGTAGATCTTGCCAAGTGCCGTCAATGGGTTTATGATCTCCATGAAGCGAGCATACATTTGACTTATGGATTCTTCTTGCTCCATGTTGAACATCTCATATTGATGTACTAAAATATTGATCCTTTGTTCATTTACTTGGGATGTTCCTTCATGGGTGACTTGCAACATCTCCCACATATCGTTTGAAGAATCATACGGCTAGAAGGGGTTGAAACTTGCCTCGTGACGTGTGCCTTGACTGAAGTCGCTAGGATCAACGGCGACTCCATCACCCGCCCAACCTCACCACTTGCCCCACTTCTCAATTTACGTAAAAAATAGAAATAGAAAACTCAACCGCACACACCCCCACCCAGCGGCGACCCACCCGCCGCCGTCCCCATTCTCCTCTTGGTTCTCGGCGTCGGCCCCACTCGCCAATTATATCTCCCATCGCCGTTGCTCCTCTCTTCGGCTCCACTCGCCGTTGCGGCTCCTCCACTTGCCGATCTTCCTGGAGATCCGCTCTCTTTCCCAATTTCTTCTCCCAAGGTAATTTTTATTTATTAATTTAGCATATGCTTAGTATTATTTATTTTATAAAGGTATTAGTTATTTTATAAGTATTTTTTTAATTATTTATTATTTTATAGCATTTGTTTAGTTAATGATTGATGAGTTGTTTTACATGCCTAATATTTTAGGGTAAATGATTGATGAGTAGTTTAGTGTGTTAATTTTATATTCGATTTGTAGTTCTATTAAAGAAAATAAAATTTAAATTGATAATTAGATATTATTTCCTTAATCTTTTGTAGATTTATTGCGACTAAAAATTATGTTAAACTGTTGGAACTTCGGTTGCACTTTGACATTAATCACCAAATAACAGATTGAAGCTCGGACTCCATTTGTTCTATCTTTTAATAGTTAATAATTAGCTGCAATAACATTCATAATAATATGAAGATAGGCAAGGTGATGCACGAACTATGTCGCTCTCTTAACGAATTTCACGACCCCTTCTCTAATGAGGTGCAGAAAGGTTCCGATCGTGTTGCCTATGAGATACAACAACCCAGCATATCTCTCCGTTGTAACTTCAAAACTGCACGTTCAAGTGAAGCAAAAACTTACACCCGACACACAGCAAGAGCTCAATATATGTATATAATATATGATCTTTTGAAAGACATTTTTCTTCACTCTTTATGTTCTCTCATCCATTTTCTCAAGCCACAAAGCCACCCTTTTATAGCGTAAAATAGGATCATCATAAAATACATATTTAATAATGAATTGGGAAAATTTATAGAGGTTATATGAGGCAAATAAAGTTTTTGCAGGTTTCAAAATGTTGGTCCAAATGACCTCAGTCAAAGAAAATATTTAGTAAAATATTATTTTTATTAAAACACCCCAACATAAAGTTTACGTGTTTTTTTGGAGGTCACACTATTCCCGGCTATTGGGTAGCAAGATATAATATTTCACATAAAACTGCTTTTCGAATTAAACGTGACTTGTCATTTGCTCAATTTTTATCGAAGTTGTATCACCGCAAAAGATGTCGATATTAATCAGCTTGAACTGAAGGTATGGTGTAAATCATATATTTTAAATGGAGAAAGAATGAAGGAGATGATTATCAAAATGACAACAGATGAAGATTTATAAATGTATATTGATCCGGAAGAAGGGAACGACTCAATGGAAGTATTTGTTGAGGTTCAACCGAGATATACTGATAGTGTCTCACCACAAGCGAGTATAGGTGGTGCTCTTACTTTGCTATAGGTAATAAGGTTTTTTATACTTCTAAATCTTAAATTAATAGTTTACTATACTTGTGCATTATAATAGTTTATGTTTATTAATTAGTGTTAGGCATGGTCGATGATTCTTTTACTAGCTCCAATAATACCACCAGTAGTAGACAATTCTCCCCATCGCGTTGCATATCCTCATCCACCTTATGGTGCACTGCGAATATCTTATGTATTAATAATTTATTTGTATGCAACTTAATTATTTTATTATATTGATTTAGCTAAATTCCATACTTTATTATAGTTGGATTAATTCCATTAGTCACACTTAGGGGTGGAAATTGGAACGAAAATTCCGATTTCCGCCGAATCCGATCCGAAATATTCCGATTTTGGAACGACTTTTTCAATTCCGAATACCGAAATTCCGATTTCCGAAAATTCCGAAAAAAATCAGATCGGAATCGGAAATACATAACAGAATTTCGGAATTTCCGATTTCCGATCCGAAATTATTCCGATTATTTTCCGATTTATTCCGATTTATTCCGATTTTTCCAATTATAATAATATTAATATTTATTACTATATATAATATATACTATATGTCTATATCTATCCGCAGTCTGTACTAATTACTAGTAATATATATTAGTATATTACTAATATTTTTTTTCCAATTATTATATATATATATATATATATATATATATATATATATATATATATATATATTCTAAAACATAAAAAAGTCAAAACTCAAAATTTATTAGAATTACTTCGAAACCATTATTTGATGTTTCTTTCTGCAATTTGGCTACTGTGTCGATGATCAATTTTTTCTTTCCTTTTTTTTTTTTTTTTGGGAAAATTTCGAAAAATTTCGAAAAATTCCGAAAATGAAGATTTCCGAAAAATTCCGATTTTCCGAAAATTCCGAAAAAATCGGAATTGGAATCACTTTTTGATTTCCGAAAAAATCGGAATCGGAATCGGAATGCGTTTTGGACTTCCGAAAAAAATCGGAAATTTTCCGAAACACCCAAATCCGATCCGATCCGTCCGATTTCCACCCCTAGTCACACTCGATCTTCCAAAAACAGTATACGTATTTATCGTACGACGCTTGATCGGATGCTCTTAACATCAAGTTCATATAAGTTAACTGTATTTACGTTAATGTTTGATAAATTTATATAAAATATTTTATACATTAATGTTTGGTAAATTTCATTTTTTAATTCACTTATAATTAAAATACATAATAATACTAATATTGTAAATGCAATTTAGGAAAAGAAAATTCAGATTGAAAATTTGAAAAATGAAATAGAAACAATCGGCAAATGTAACTTTTGAAATCTCAAAATGGATAACATTGATCCAAAATAGGGAATTTTCAAAATACATCGATAAATTTCAAAATTTTAATTTTAGTTTCCACCCCTAAATACAACATTGTTATTCAATGTAGAGGTTCGATATACGTGATGAATAACGGAGCACAAGATTGTTACTCGTAGGGGTGTTCATACAGTAAAACTGTACCTAATCGTACTGGAGTTTTGGTACGTACCGAACCAAACTATTCGATTTGGTACATTTTTTTACCAAACTATTCAGTTTGGTACGGTTGGGTATCGGTGAAACCGAAATATATTTTATTATTTTAGAAAAGATAAAAAGGACAATTTAAATGAAATAATTCTTGAATTTGACATTAAAATTTCAATAATCGGCCCTAAAAACAAAAAGTGATTATCAATAGTCGCTACTTTGTAAACAATGAAAAAATTACCAATCTATAAGTATTTTATAATTTTGGGCAAATTACAGTCACCCCCGAGGTGTGGCCAAATTACGAAAAAAACCCAATTGTTTGGTAATTACAACCACCCCCTCCTTTTAAATATTTTTACGTAAAATTTATGTAATTTGATTATCTACCGAAGCAAATCGTATACTTAGTTCGATAAATGACATGAAATGTTGGCGTACTGGAATTTCGGTTCGATTTACCTAATTAGCATCCCTAAATTTATCTATGGAGGGTCTTTTCGTAAGATAATATATAATTGAGGGGGTGGCTGTAATTACCCAAACATGAGAGGAATTTTCGTAATTTCACCATAACTCAGGGGTACCCGTAATTTGCCTTTTTTTGCTAAATTTTCATTTGTACAATTGAAAGATAAGGCACGTCTTTGTACAACCTACAACTGGTGAAATACACCATGCGCTTTTAAATCGTAAATCTACAGATAATAACAAACACATCTATATATATATATGTGTACTTAGTGGATATTTATTTATATAGATCTACGGTTTAAAACCACAATGGTGTATTTCACCATACGTAGGATCTCAAATTCATAGGGCAAAATAGTAAGTTAGACAAAATCCAATAATCCGTTTCCCACTCCTTTAATATTTTCTTTCAATAACCTTCTAATATATATATATATATATATATATATATATATATATATATATATATATATATATATATATATATGTCCAAAATTTACAAATGATCTCACTAATTTTGAAATATTTACATGTTAAAATATTATTTGATGTGTATAATATTAGTAAAACAGAAAACCGGGAGCACCGCCACCGAACCCAGTAAACTTTTGTCACATTATTTTGTAGTAAGTGACCTTATACGAAAAAATAAATTGAAAACCAATAAGCTGAAGCACGACTTTGTGTAGACTGGTTTTTTTGTTTTTTTCTATCGTGCGACTTTTGGGTTGTAGTGGGGGTGAAAGGATATTTATGAAGAAGACAACCCATCATCATATCTTTTCATTTCAATGGTTCAACTCTTTCTTTTCACTTCACATTTTTTCTCACCGCCACAATAATAATAATAATAATAAATGGAAGCTTCTATTTTGTTCAACCCATCCGCCATGATTCCTTGTTTTTCAAGAACCTCATTCCTCCACTCAAGGTACACTCTTTCTTCTCTCTTGCTTTTTCTGAATTTCAAGAACCTTGGTCGAGTATAGAGTTAATCCAATCTAATCCAACCAAATCCAATCCAATCCAATTCAAATCCAATCAAATCCAAAATAATCCGGAATAGGTAGCCAAATGAAGCCTTAGAAAATGGAGGGCCCAAAGTGGAAACAAAAATCGATATAACTTGCATTCGTATGGGATCATGCGATTCCGATAAGAATTTGTACGTTTTTCCAGTGGATGTAATATGTTGTGATTTAATATATTGATAACATCCATAAATTTATTTATGGGTAAATTACAACAACCCCTGAGTTATGGACTTATGGTCAATTTACAAAAAAAAAAAAAAACTCTCTTGTTTGGATAATTACATTTACCTCTCAACTATGATTTTTTCTTACACCTCTACCCCTATGGTGTAAAATTCAACATAATCATCTATATTTCGTGGCATGTGCTCTAGTTTGTACTCATTTTGTGTAAAAATACAGTTTCTGATGCATCTCAATCTGATATATACAAGCCAAAAAACACATATTATGATCATCTTGCTTCAAAATGTGAAGTTCGAATTGTATAAAACGGGTACAAAAGTGATAATATTCCATATAATCTAGAAGATTCCACTAAATTTTATAGTTGAGGGGTGGTTGTAATTACCCAAACAAGAGAGGGATTTTCGTAATTTGACCATACCTCGGGGTGGTTGTAATTTACCCTTTATTTATTTGGTATATGCAGGGCTGGGCTAATGGTTCGTCAGAAGGTTTTCTTTTCTCGAGCTACACATGGTAAGATGTTACCTTTTGCATTATCGATCCTAGGATTGCAAGTTGGAACGAAGTTTCCGAATTCCGCCGATTCTGATCCAAAATTATCCAACTTTGGATCAAATATCTTCATTCTAATATCTGATATTTCAATTTCTGATTTTTCCGAATGTTATAGGATTGGAATTGAAATTATATATAATTTCTTGGAAATTCAGATTTCCGATTCAATTTTGATACCCACAAATAATTTCCGAAATATTTTATTAAATAGTTATTTTATACTATATATATAATGACATATTAAATATTGTATATTTTAATAAGTGTGACTATATTAATTTTTATTTAACTCATTAAATATGGACGCAATTTAATTGTAAAATTTCCGGAAATTCCTATTAAATTCCGAACATTTCCAATTAAATTTTATGATTTTTTTTCCATCTGTGATCTTTTTGGATTTTTCCGAAATTTACAAAATTTCTAGAATTGGAATATATTTTTGAATTCCGAAAATTTCGGAATTGGAATTGGAAGTATTATTTGATTTCCGAAAAAAATTGAAAATTTTCTGAATGGCTTGTTTCTGAACCAATCCGATCCATTCGACTTTGAGTCCTAATTGATCCTCTACTGATAATATTGCGGTAATTCCTTTTGATTAGTTAATGAAAGTTAAATATATGACAGACGGATCAGTTAGCTTACGTCTCGTATCTCCGACACTATTAGCGGCAGAAAAGGAAGAAGCAAAAGCCGTGCTGGCATTATTCTTAAAGAAACAAGGTTTAAGAAACGCAGTTGCCACAAAAACTATCAACAAGTCAAACGCATTTATCGACCACCTCGTTTCACTGCTTCACTCCGTCCACAAGTCTCGCTACTTAGTAGGTTCGATCTCTCGTTTTCTTTTTGCACCCATTACAATCATTTTCGAAAACTTAATTGGGTAATATTTATTATTGCATACAAATATTATTTTTTATATTTAATTATAGGCCGTGAGCTCACAACTCTCGAGATTAGAGATGTTCTTATACCGTACCTCGAGACATTCGAAGAGGAGTATGGATCCCTTTTGGTGGACGTTGTGGAGAATTTCTCTGTCAAGGAAAAAATAGACGAAAAAAACATATCCTTTGAAGAAAAAGATGTAGAAAAAAATCAGTGAATATATTTTCGTGTGTGTAATTAATGCTAGGTTTGTGTAGTAATTCACAATTGTTAGTCGAAAAATAATTCTTCGACGAGCTTTGGTAATTTAGTTAATTTTATTTTAGGTGGTACTTGGGAGAGAATATCTTGTATGATCCTTTTTTTTTTTTTTTTTTTTTTTTCCGAATGTATCTAAGTTTTGTAATTAAATTTATTTGTGGTGAACTTGCAGCTTTGGATTTGAGGTATGTATATTGTTATTAAATTTTGAATCTTTGTTACGTACCATGAAAGTTCGGAAATCTTTTCGCAAATAGATGTTCTTGTTCATTTGGACAAGGTGTAGGAAATATTTTCGAAAAAAGTTGTTCTTGTTCATGAAGGTGACAGTGAGTAGAGATATTTTTAACTGATCGGATTGGATTTGATCAAGACGAACAACGCTAAATTCGATTATTTTACGATCATGGTTTTCTGAAACATTCTTTTTCCACCCGATCGATTTTTTATATTCGAAAATAAGCTTTTGATCTCATTTTCGACAACTTGTTCTTGTTTTTCAACCAAAAGATATGGCAGTATAAATTGACCTTGCAATACACGCACATATCTGTGTCGTCACAACTAAAAAATTACAAACAATTTCGTAAACAAAATAGTTAATTTGCATACATTTAAAACATCACTGAAAACACCTTAGCAGTATTAACGAAAAATAAGCTTCAATTTCTCCTCGGCTTCAACTAGTTGACGAATGTCGGATCTTCATGCTCAATCCGGGGGAAAAGTCAAAAATGCCCTTTCTGTAAGCTGTATTTCCCTGTAAACGTCATCAATCTTAAGCAACATAAAGTTATGTAATTTCTATGAAAAACCCAATTGTATTATTATTGGATAAAATTTGCAAATTTGCTTTTTGTCACAAATTCACTTTCTCACTGTAAATTGTAAATGTCAATTATAATTTTCTTGCCACTTTATTAATCCCTGTTCATCATTGTTAAGTTTATAAATTACCAAGTTCCATAACATATAGATTTAAGGATGCAATGTAATTTCTCAAAAAAAGAAAAAAATAAATAAATAAATAACGTACGGAAAATGTAATAATAACCACAAACAATACTAAAGCATTCATTAGTACTAGAATGAAAAACATAGTTATTATTTATCAAAAACAAAAAAAGAAAAAAACACATAGTTATTGATAACCATACCGCTTACTAGGGGCGGAACCAGGATGAAAATGTAGGGGGGCTAGCTAAAATTTCGGGGTTCGGGGCAGCGCCCGAATTTTTTTTTTAGGTTCACTAGACATTGCAAAAATGAGTTTGTATTGATATTTATAATTAAAATGTCATATATATAAAAAAAATATCGTATTTTAAGCATGACAAAAAAATTTAAATTAATTCAAATTATTTTAATAATGTATCGTACTTAATATTTTGGGGATTCATGGCATCGTCTCATATTAATTTTTAGAGTTATTGATAAAAAAATTCAAAAATATGTAAATATTCATAAATTTTATTTCAAATTATACAAGTTTTCACCATTTTGGAGAAGAAACAAAAAAGTTAAGAATTAAGATACATATTTGCAAAAACTTTAGGGGGGCTAAAAGTAATATTCAAAAAATACAGTGCCAAAATACATAAAAAAAATTTTTTTTTTTTAATCTTGGGGGGTCAACAGCCCCCCCTAGCCCCTTCTATCTTCCGCCCATGCCGCTTACAGTTCGAGTTCGGGTTCGGATTCGGATTCGGATTCGGATTCGTATTCGTATTTGTATTCGTATTCGGATTCAGATTCAAATATGGGTTCGCGTTCGGGTTCGTATTCATATTCGTATTCGTATTCGTATCCGGATTCGGGTTCGGGTTCGGGTTCGGAGTAATCCCCCAATATGGCACTTGCCACAGCTACCATAACTACAGCTACCACGGCGCGAAACAAGACATAGGCCACCATGCTTACTGTTACAGGGGTTAATTTATCACCGAAATTTTCCCACCGTACGGCCTGATTTACGCACTAAATCAGTCAGCCTACTCAACAATTCCTCACACAAACGTATGGCACCATCGTTGTATCAAATGAACAGCAACAATCACAAGTATGCAGCGGAAATCGAACAACACAAGCAATTTACGAGCAACGCTCAACCTTTATTAATTCACTCACGAACAATACAAGGAAAGCCCTTGGTGCACATACAAAATCCTCACAACAGATGCTATTGATTGCAATCTGAGTCACTCTCTATGGCCGGTTCGGATTTGTGCACTCAAGGGCCAATAAATACAAGTTACAATGCAGTTTACACACTAAACTGCCAAGGGACACATGGCGGCACGCAGGCCAGCCACTTGGCTCACTAATCTAACATAAAGGGACGGTTTTTCAAGCCTTTGCTGATGCCAACCGCTCCGCAACTGCCTTCCTTAACTTCCCGAGTCAATTAGCTGCCCGGCTTGCCCAATCGGTGCGCATGCACGCCCAAGGATCGAATCCGCCCGCACGCGTGCAATTCAGCCCGCTTGCCATGCCTTTCTCGGCCAAGCACCTCAATGCTTGCCGATCACTCGAAACCCTTGCTTTGTAACTTTCGGCCACCGTTTGGCCCATGTGTAGCTTGCCTTGTGCCAACACGTCTTGGCACCAATTCTTTGCCTACACGGTCTTTTGGCACGCCCGCACATCGGGCTGCCTTCATCGACTTGCCCACGCTTGTCAAGTCGTGGTCGATTTCCCTCGAACGCTCGTTTGCCCAAGTTATCGGCCGCATGCCGATCACTGCCCACGCTTGTCCGCATTTGCTGCCGAGCAACGCCCGTGCCAGCCACAAGTACTTTCGATCACCGTTCCCACTTGAACCAAGTCGATGCTTGCTTTCTCGGACAAAACACCCCGAATGCTTATCCGACACTCGACCACTCATTGGCCGATTGTGTGGCTGCCTTGTGCCAATCCCTACTTGGCACCATTTATCGGTCATGACTCGGCCACACTCGAGTCATTACCGATATCACCGATTAAGGGGGTAACAGACCTCCCCCACCAACGGTGTTCGACGCCCTCGTCGAACCAACACCATCGGCCTCAGCTTTCTCTCGTTTCCACTTGTCTTGCCACCGTCCTCGATTATGCTTGATCAACAGCACCACATCGAACCCCGAATTCCAAGTCTGATCCCACGAACTTCCCACAAATTCTTTCAGCCCTCGGAAAAACGAACGCCAACCACGTTCACACAGCAGCACCCAACCACAAGTGAAAATGCTAGTTTTTGGCACAACTAGCATTTTATCTCGATTGCCACACCGATCGAGAAAGGAGATCACCAACCCACGGAAATCACCCAAGCTCGGCTTCCATTTCATCAACAACAGAAACCAACCAACCAAATATCCAACACGCAACGCAAACTCAGAAAATACCACATTTCGAACCCACAAATCATACCACACAGGGCAGCAACTTAGAACAAAAGTAAGGCCACAATGCCCATTCAAAAACCCAAATGAATACCTCAACTTGCCTTCAGCCCTTGTCTCATTTCTCGGCAATGTACGTATAAGCAAACCAGCCCGAGAATTCACCGTCTTGGCTCCAACGGTTGCAATTATGCTCGATGACTCCTCGTCGTTCGATTCTGCCTCTAATTGCACCGCAGCCAACATTTCCACCGGTCTCTTTCCCGCCTTTGCTTTAGTCACGTACGAGCACTCAACGAAGCATGGACACTCTTCGTCCATAATCATTAGCCCTCCGAGAAATGGTATCACCGCAGCCTTGGCAGCAAGTAGGAACTCTTGCCCCAATATCACATCGAAATCGTCTAGTGGTACGGCAGTCAATCCGCACTGCCCTTTCCAAGAACCGATCACAAGATCGACATCGGTTCTGCCTTTCACCGGCCCCGCTTCTGAATTCACAGCCTTTACTTGACTTGCATGTTTTGAGAGAGTCAAGCCCAGCTTCTTGACTTCTCTCTCGGCAACGAAGTTGTGAGTTGCTCCCGAATCAACCATCGCATTCACTTCTTTGCCATTGATCAGCACCGAGGCATACATCAAGCCCTTGGTGCCGTTTGGTGCCTTGTCCACGACCAAAGCACTCAGCAACTGAATCGGATTCGCACGCCTCGTTTCGTCCGAATCCTCACTATCCGACTCCCGCATCAAAGCATTCAACTTGCTCTTCTTAGGACAGTCCCTCATCCGGTGGTTGCCGTCACATAGAAAGCAGCCCCGGTTTTGCTTGTTGACGACGGCCTGTCCAACGGTCTTAGTTTGTACCGAGGATCCTTCGCCATCACCGCTCTCTTTCTGCTTCCAATTTCGGCCACCCTTGCCACCAAACTTCTTTCCCTTGGACTTATCCCTCTTCGAGCCTTCCTTATCGGAATCATCGGCCCCCATCACCTTGTAATCGACAAGTCGATCGGCTGCCGAGATAGCACTTGGCAGATCTTTCACACCTTGTCTTCGCAACTCAGTTTGGGCCCATGGCTGCAAGCCAGCCATAAAGTTGAACAGCTTATCTTCATCGGACATGTCACGTATGTCAAGGAGCAGAGAACTGAATTCCTTGACATACTCTCTCACACTTCCCTTGTGCTTCAATTGCCGAAGGGATTCCCTTGCCAACCAACTCGTGTTGCAAGGAAGGAATTGTTCTTTCAACTCCCTCTTCAACGATTCCCAGGTTTCAATTTTGTCCCGATTGGCACTAGCATCGTCGGAAAGACGTGCTCGCCACCACAACTTCGCATCACCCGGCAAGTACATGCTTGTAATGGTCACCTTCTCTTGATCGGACACATTCGCTGCCTGGAAATAGTTCTCCATGTCCCAAAGGAAGTTTTCTAACTCCTTTGCGCTACGTGCACCCCCAAACGTAGCGGGTTCAGGCACCCGTACCTTGGACGACGACGATCTGCCCTCAACAGCACTCGACGTCCCCTCACGAATCGCCCGTTTCACCACAGCCAAATCCGTCAAAACCGTCTCCAACTTGGCTTCAACGGCATCACTTAGCAACCCAAGATCTTCAGCAGCACTTGCCATCCTAGTCTCCACAAATTCCGGTAGATCGGCTATAGATTTGGATAGCCGTTCGAACGCTTGTTGCCCATCAACAAGTTGTTGGAGAATAGGGGCTGCTCTCAGATCAACGGGCGGCCCAACAAGAGTCTCAAGACGTTGCAATCTCGCTTCCAAATCGAGCAACGCTGCTCGTGTAGGATTCATCATTGAGGAAGAACCC